ATTTGGTTTGAGTTTGAAAATTAGTAAAATTTTAAGTTTGAGTTTGATTTGAGTTTGAAGTTTGATCAAACCCGGACTGAACTGGACTCAAACCTAGGAGCCCTAGGTAAGAGGATCTCAAAAGTGATCTGTAATTTGTGTAATCTTGATATTCGCTCCTGTTAGCAAATATACTAACTTAGAAAATGATCCAATTTTTTTGGATCAAAATCTGAATAATTCTGAAGATAGTATAAAGCATAGTGGGCTTTCATTGTAATTGGCTGATTTTTGTAGATCATCCCGTGATATTACATCATTGGTTAATCAAAATTATTCGCAAGACAAATTTTATACGAAACTATATTCTGATATAATTTATACTTAAATATTTATTACTACCATATAAAATCAAATTGGCATTAATAAATGCATTACTATGAAATCTATCAATTCAAAATCTAAAACCATCATCCCGATACAAAAAAATTCAAGATTTATTTAAAAAAAAAAATACTATTATACCAATTTAAAAAAAAAATTATACGTAAAAAACACAAAAAACAGATAAAAAATATAAACTATTTATTTTAAAAGACTATAAAAATCATAAAAATAATTTTTTAATTGTACCTGATAATAGTTAATTAATGTCAAACGAATCTAAGGGCTGTGACAAATATTACGTAATATTTTTTTACTATACCCTACCCCCCTCTTATAAATTTAATATTTAACATAAGATTTCAACAACCCCCTCCCCCCTAAAAATATTATGTAATATTTGTCATTATCCTAACCATATTCTAAATTAATGATCTTAAATGTAACACTTAGTGATATGCCATTTATATGATAGCCTAATTTTTTTTTGCGTATAGTACGTACAGTACATACAGTATATACAGTATATATAGTATTTTATATAGTGTAATCAGTGTTGGGTATAGTCCTAAGCCCAGTTTTAAAAACTTGACTGGACTGGACTGTTCTATTGGAACTAGTTCCAGTTTTAGTCCAGTCCAGTTTTCACGTGATTTGTTTAAAAAATTTTTATTGGCCATTATGCGATATACTCAGAATAGTAAGTTTTTAAACAGGATCTTTAACTGCAACTCATGATAAAATTATGATAATTCTCGATACAAACTAACTCACCACATACTATAATAACCGGAGTGATGAATAAAGTTTGTAACAGTTTTTTATAGCAACTTATAACAGAAATTACAATACTAACTACAAACAATTGTTGCTGAAATAGCAAGTTTTACTATAGCTCTCACAATAATTCTGATGCGAAATTAACTGACCTTAACTATATACTTTGTCTCACTGAAAAAGTAGATTCTTTAACAGAATATTTTTAGCAATTTTTTTACGCATACTACATTTTAATTTGTCATTTTAGCCTTTTATAGACAGTAATATGCGATGGCTACTCATTAGATGGGAATAACAAGTTATTTTGTAATTAAATTTCTTGCAACAATTCATAAAAATTACGATAATTCTAATAGCAAGTTTTACTTAGCTTATAAGCATGCCAACACAACCTTATTTACATACTATATCACAAATCTTGTAATGATAGGATATTTCACAACAACTCTTGATAGAAGTTACTTTAGTTCATAATAGAAGTCATGATAGTTTTAGAATAGCAAGTTCTATAATAGAATTTTTTATATTAACAATTTTTTAAAAAAATTAAAAAAATTCCTGTGCCAGAAGCACAGGCAAAATACTAATTTATAAATTTAAACAAATTTTAATTAAAGTTTTTCTATATGATTTGGAGGCGCTAACTCCATACAAAATAAAGTATCCAAATTTCACTTAGTATTTGGATCTTTTTGAGAATGAATATGATTTACAGAAAAAGAAGCACTATTATTAGAAATATTATCATCATTCTGTAAATCATTATTTTCTTCGATATCAATCTCTGATTTATAATTAGCATCTGGTTTAGTATTGATATAATATTGTTCTAATTATCACCACTTGTCATATCTTCACTTTCAAAATCTTCAAAATCTGAATTACTAGATTTATTAAATTCTTCTAGTTCATTTAATTCTTCTAGTTCATTAGATTTTTCTGGCTCAATACTAATTTTTGCTGAAGATGAATAGTACATATTTTTTATCATTTCAATTTCTTGATTTCTATGTGCTTGATTAAGTACACCTTTAATTTGTGCTATAGATAAAATCTTCTTATACTAAAATATATAAATTATAAAAAATATAAGCTAATTAGTAATTATTTACATATAGTCGATACTGTCTAATTGCATGCTATCTGTTAGAGAATTTTTTATGCATATAGATAGTATATGCACTTAAATCATAAGAACTATTTTGGTGTTAATAATTAAAAGCCAAAATTTTTTATGCATTTAGAGAGTATATACAATTAGACAGTATGCAATTAGACAGTTTCAACTGTATTTATCAATTAATTAATTTATATTAATTACATGTAATCGGTTTCTTCATGCTGAATATAAAAATTCTATTGAAAACTATAGCCTTTCAACTGATGCAGCATTGATTGCAATTTCAAATATTTTTAAAGCAATGAATCCAAGTTTTGTAGTTTTTTTAGAACACCAATTCTAATACTGTAACATATCTTTATCCTATTGTTTCCATGTAGCTTCATTAAAAGGATACTATTTAGTTCGATATTGATCAAGTTTATATAAAATATTTTTTGGTTCTGTTTGAGCCCACATATAATAATAATATTTTATCTATTTTCCAAAATCAACCCAATTCAAATTTGGAAGTGTAGTATTAAAATATTTAAACTGATACTTTGGATGAAGAATAAATGACAAAATTAGTAATAGTTGTTCCCACATTTTCTAGCGATTTTCAAGACGAATATATATTTGGTTAGAAAAATCATAATTTTGAAATTTTTTAAAAATTTGATAAAAATATCAAATACATGAAGTACTTCAAATAAATAAGTTTTATCTCACTGAAGTATATTAAGACAACCACATAAATGTAAAAGCAAATCTTTAAGAATTCAAATTGATTGCCAAAAATTATTATCATTAATTGGATTACATATTTCTAATAGAAGTGTTAAATTATTACTTCATATATTATTATCAGATGGTTCATATTTAGCAACTAATATCTAAAAATAATAGTACTAGTAAATAATTTAATAAAGTATTATTAAATAAAATAATAAAAAAATCCTACTTTTAATGCTTCTTTATTTTTAAAATATTTCTAAAGCAATAATAATAACTATTCTATCTAGTAATACTAGGAGGAATTAAGTTAATATATTTATTATATTAACTTTTTTGTTCATTACAGAGTTTTCTAATAAAGTATGTATCTGATTTTGAAGTAAAGTATGTAGAAATTTTATTTGCATTCTTTGCTGCTTTATTAAAATTTTTATTAGCTTTAAAAATATCACCCATACAAAGATTAACCTGATGCGCAAAGCATGGCAAGTATATAATTTCAGGGTAGGTAGTTTGAAGTATATGTCTAATTATAAAATATAATTAATAATTAAATTAAAAATTTAAATATATATAATATATATATAATTTTATTTACTATGCACTTGCATATTGAGCTGTACTATCAATAACTATAGCTAAGACTTTAATATTAGCATCTTGTACACTTTTAGTTAAAGTTTCTATTTTTTCTATAATTTTTGTAGTTCTACTTCTTTCTGTACTAACTTTTTGCACTTTCTATACAAGTACTTCTCCCTTTGATATTATTAATACACTACCTAATAAATTTTGATTTACTATATTTGTCCATCCATCCTTAGTTAAAGTTATACCAATTGTATCTGATTGAGCTTTTTTTTCTATTGAATGAATTATATCTAAACTTCATTTGTTAAAATTTTTCTACTTTGATATTTTCGAGTTGGAAGCTTTAATATAGGATTTAAATATGTAAAAATTCTTTTAAATCTTTATTTTCAATCTAATGAAAGCTCTATCCATTTGAAATTGTAGCTTTAAACAAAAGATACTACCACTTTCTTTGTTAAGAAGAAGTTAAAGTATGTGTTATATATCAGCTAAATGTTTTGGTTTATTAATTAATACTTCTGAATTATTTTCTAAACCACAATTACTTTTTTGATAGTTATTAGTTTTAACTAAATATTTTTATAAATATATTGTTATTAATAAATATACAATTATTATAAAATGCATCTATAGTAGTTTTGCATCTATTATATATTTTTATTATACTTTTTAAAATTTTTTAAGTTTTTATAAGTTTTGTATATAAAATTTTAGTATTAATATTAAGGTTAAAATTAGGATTTAGGAAGGGTTTTTGAAGATATAAAATATTTTTATTTAGAATACCTTATACCAATTAATTAGCCAGTTTTTGAGATAATGTATAAATAGGTATAAAATACTATAGATGCATTTTAGTAAAATCTTAATATATATAAAATTATAACTTACTTTGTTATTTTTTATTTTTAGTAGTTTTGCTATCTGAATTATTAAGAATTATTTCTGCTTGTTCATTACCATATTGTGAAAAAAATGTGTACATTTTAATAAATGTGCTTTTACATATTTTTTTGTATTAACTATTTTATTAGAATATGTATATTCTTGTGAAATAGCTTCTTTACATGCTTTACAAATTGCAAACTTGTTATATATATTAGCCATTTCATTTAATATGATAATATAAGTTGTTAAGCGATGTTTAACCATTTTGTTTTTTAAAAATAAAACTTTTTTTAAAAAAAAAGTGATGATTAAAATCACATAAAAAATTTAAACTTGAGGGTATACATTTTTTATTTATATAATTTGTTTTTTATTTAATAATTATAAAACTATTCTTTAGTTATATAAATTATTATTTTTACCAGGAATGTAGTGAAACGAATACCAGAAACGCAGTAAAATGAAATATATAGTTTACAGACAAGTTGCTGTGTTCAAAATTTTAAATTCTATTAAACAGCATGATCATTGTATGTGTATTCTTTTTTTTAGTTATGCTTTTAACCTGCCTTGATGACCATGTTATATAATTATTGAAATTCTGGTTAGATTGAACATTTAGTCTTGATCTCATGATCTAGATCGAATTAGTTTAACATCTTTATCTGTGGTTTTTATCTGTAATGATGATTTAATCTAGTTAAATGATCATGATAACCGTATATTTGGATTAGTGTATTATTTTTTAATATTAATACAAAAGTAAAAGAATACAATATTGAATACTGTGCACTTAGGAATTCATATTATAAAATATTACATTAATCTATCAGATTTATCGTGAGATAAAGATAAATTCTTATATGTATTAGTTTTTCTAGTTAATTTATTGTAGCTATACATACAATAATTTCTAGATCTAAAAAATAGATCTTACCTTGCCATTTTTGGCAATTAATTTAAGGGTATTTTATGATTATTAGAGTGTATTCAAATCTGGTTGATTTTATGAACATCATGCTACTTTGTGAAATTTATTCCAAAAAAGTTATGATTATTTATTAGTTTTCTAGACTGATTATTAGATATACATTTCCTTTAATTCTAGCTTATGATTTTACAGACTATAAATACCAAGGTTGAACTTTAAATAAAGTAGTAATCGATCTATCAAACACTAATACTTATAATAGCACATACATTATACTTTTTAGAATATGCAAATTAAATGATTATTATTTTTATGCCTCTTTATTGAATATATAAATTTACTACCTGCGCTTAATACAGAAATCAAATGCCTAGAAGAATGTGAAAAACAAACAACAAAGCTAGATAGCTGGATGAATACTATGATCAAAACAATACAAATTAACAAACTTAATATTTAATACATATCTAAACTCTAGAATAACAAATCTACCAAAATATTTTTTTTAAATAAATAAACTTATACTATACAATTTAAAGTTGATTACTTATACTATTCAAAATTAATTACTTAAGATCTTTATTTTAGGCTCAGCCACAAGATAAAAAAAATATTAAACATATATGCTCAAAATACCTCATTCAACTTTAATTATATGATTATTAAAAATTAAACTAATTTAATTTATTAAGCAAAAAACCAACAAAATAAAAAATATATCAACTAACTAATAACAATTATTACGAAATAAAGCCCTAAATAGAATAGTATAATCATCTTTAAAAACAACAAAATCAAACACATAATACAGTAAACTGGTATGAACATAAATTTGATTCTTGATTGCTTATCATAATAAAAAAATTTGTTTGTTGTTAAAACATCTATTCAATAAATTATCAAATATAAGTTCCTGGTTTTGTGTGATAGCATTATGCAGCTATATTATTATTTAACAATAGTATTAATACTTGTTATTATTATTATAATTATAATTGAACGATACAGATATACTAATTTAAAAACAATTAATTAATATATTTATAATTATTATATCATAATTACTAACCAAAAATAAATATATTTTAATAATAGTATTAATACTTGTTATTCTTATTATTATTGTACAATATAGCTATACTAATCCAAAAACAATTAATTGATATATCTATAATTATTATATTATAATTATGAACTAAAAATAAATATATACTGTTTTATCATAGAGCTTTAATAATCATTATACTAATTTAGTTAGATATTTATTAATTACTAAAAAAGAAAATCAAAGTTATTATATAAGAACTTGACTAGAAAAATATTAGTCTGAGAATTTGAAAAATCTCTAGTTGATTACTAAAAAAATTAATAAAATAAAGTAATTTTAATAATTAATCAGAGTATCCTCAAATTCCAAGACTAATATTTTAATTGACTAGTTTTTATATTATAAATTATTTATTAATTAAAACTAAAACTTGTATAAATGATCATGATACCAATTTAGTTAAATATTTTATTATACTAAAAAAGAAAAGTTAAAGTTTTATTGCATTATAAATTATTATTATTAATTAAAACTCTTTTATAAAAGCAAAAGTTAAGTATGTACTAAACAATTATAATATTAATTTAGTTAAATGCTTAATTATATCCAAAAAAGTTAATATATTAATATTATAAATTATTTATTATAAGATCAAAACTTGTATACGTATAGCAAAATTTAAATACTATTTAAATAATAAATACAAGTTAATATATTTGTAGTTAAAAGATGCAAATTACTAACTCTTCCTGACGATCACTTGTACCAAATTTTCTCTAAAAATAATCACTCTATTCTCTAAATTCTACTAAGTA